GTATCCTAACTTGTGCCTTTTTATAGGTGAGTCGAGTCCATTTACATTAAGGGATATTAATAACCAGCAATTGCTATCTCCTGTTATTTTAGTTTTCATCATTGGTGATGTTAATTTGTGCATTTTTTTTCTTCTTTGGGATTTGCTGTTATGAGTTCATCAATTATCCGTGTTTTTGTTGGTGTAGCCATCTTCCTTGGGTTGGAGTTTTCCTTCTAGTATTTTGTGTAGGGCTGGGTTTGTGCTAGGTATTGGTGAAATCTAGATTTGTCATGGAATATCTTGTTTTGTCCTTCTGTGGTGATTGACAGTTTTGCTGGGTATAGTAGTCTAGGTTGGCATCTGTGATCTCTTAATGTCTGCATAATGCTTGACCAGAACCTTCTGGCTTTCATTGTCTTCAATGAGAAGTCAAGTGTAATTCTGATAGGTCTACCTTTATATGTTACTTGGCCTTTTTCCTTTGCAGCTCTTAATATTCTTTCTTTACTCTGTATGTTTAGTGTTTTGATTATTATGTGATGAGAGGACTTTTTTATCCAGTCTATTTGGTGTTATGTAAGCTTCTTGTATCATCATAGGCATATCTTTCCTTATGTAGGGAATGTTTTCTTCTATGATTTTGTTTAATAAATTTTCTGTGCCTTTGAGTTAAACTTCTTATACTTCTTCTATACCTATTATTCTAAGATGTGGCCTTTTCATGGTGTCCCATATTTCCTGGATATTTGGGGTTATGCTTTTGTTAGATTTAATGATCTTTAACTGATGAGTTTATTTCCTCTATTGTATCTTCAGTGCTTGAGATTCTCTCTTCCATCTCTTGTATCCTGCTGTTCATGTTTGCATTTATGGTTCCTGATCTTTTTCTCATAATTTCTGTTTCTATAATTCCTTTGGCTTGTGTTTTCTTTATTGTTTCTATTTCAGTATTCAAGTACTGAATAGTTTTTTTTTATATGCTTGATTTCTTTTTCTTGGTTTTCTTTAAGTGACTTGCTGATATCTTTCAATTTTTGTTTGTCTTTTCATCAGTTTCTTTAAGGGAATTTCTCATTTCATCTTTAAGAATTTCAAACATTCTCTTCAAGTTATTTTTTAGGTCATTTTCTTCTGGTTCATCCATATTTGGTTGTTCAGGTCTTGTTGTTGTAGAGTCTTTAGGTTTTACTGGTTTTGTGTTGCTCTTTGTGGTGTAGCATGTGATCTTACCTTTTCTACTCACCTTCTCCTCTAATAGATGTGGTTGGGGCTGTCTGAGATTCTGTTGAATAATCTTCTAGGTAGGTGCCAGTGAATCCAAAGTTCAGGTGGTTGTTCTTCTTGGTACAGTCAGTGTCACAGTTCTAGTTACCCCATTGGTTACTTGGTGTTCCTGGAGATAGCTCAGTGCTCCTGTGCTTTGCTCTGCTCCCTTGAAGTTCACTGTCTCAGGCCTACTTTGGCTTAGGTTGCTGGCTTTGCTCTGTTTCTATAAATCTTGGTCTGGATCCCCTCCTGCAGAAGTCCCTAGCTTGTAGTTGTTTTTGTTGTGGTGGAGATCACTGACTCTGGATCTGGTCACTGGCTCAATCTTGGTCTGCCAGTTTTCTGGGACTGGGTTGGCTTCCAGGACTCCTTATTAACTCTTATAACTTATATTAGCCCATAATTCTTGTCAGTGTTAGCAACGTGGCTTGGTACCTTTTTCAGCGAGGCAGTCACATCTTGCTTGCTCTATATCTGGGTGATGACTGCAGACTGAATTTTTTCTCTTCCCAGAATCTCCTGTTCTCATTGCCCCGCCTCTACTTCTTGCCTGGTTGCCCTGCCTATATTTCCTACATGGCTAGTGGCCAAGCAACATTTTGTAAAACAAGTACAATAAACAAATCTTTACAGGGTAAAACCATTGTCCCACAGCAGAGAACAGCCTCTCCAACTATATTACAAAATTCAGGACTCACAGACAAAAAGATTACTAAGTTTGATTATACAAAAGTCAAATATTTCTGCAAATAATAAGTCTTAGGATCCTGCGTCGATGAGGTATTTCCATATTGTTAACAAGAATGTAATAGATATGGACTTGGTGGGGAGTTATTACCAAAATCTTAGCTGCCCTCACCCTCTCAGCCAGCAAAATCTTCTTCTAGAAACTTATTCTGAATAGTACATAGATACAACTCCAAAATGATACAGATATAAGATCATGCATTTGCTGATAAATAAAACAAACAATAGGCATAAATGTGACCTCCATCAATAGGAGTTAAATCAATGTAGCACATCTATGATTCCTGTGTTTTTTCCAGTGTCTTTTGGCCGTTCTCCAATGATTTCATGTTTTTTTCATCATTACTGTACCTGTTACAGTGTTTGGAGCATTACAAACTGTCTGTATTAGATACCAGCTCAGTTGATAAATGTGGTTCTGATGTGTCCACCCACAAGCCATTCCTCTCATCTTGTGTGTGGGGGCGGGTGGGGTGGGTGGGTGAGCCTGCCTAGCCCTTGAGACACCAAAAAGTACTAAAATTAGATGGTGCTGGTTAGTTTTTTTGCCACGTTGACATGAACTAAAGACACCAGGGAAAAAGAGAACCTCAGTCGAGGAGTTGCTTCTCTCAGACTGGCCTGTGGGTGTGTCTGAGGTGCATTTCCTTGATTGCTAGTTGTTGGAGGAAGGTCTAGCTTACGGTAGGCAGTGGCACCCTTGGACAGATGGCCCCAGGTTATATAAGAAATCAAGCTGACCATGACCCAGGAATAAGCCAATCAGCAGCGTTCCTCTGCGGTCAGCTTCAGTTTCTGATCCCAGATACATGGCATTAGTACTTGTCCTGGTTTCCCTTGATGATGGACCATGACGTGGAAGTGGAAGTCAAATATACCCTTTGGTCCCCAGGTTGCTCTGGGTCATGATGTTTATCACAGCAACAGAAAGCCAACTAGGGCACAGGACAATCAATAAGCCTTCAGCAGCCTGTGTGGGTTCAAATGAAAGACAGAGCTATATGTATTCCTCTGTAAAAGAAAAGGCTAGACATGATCACGGTGAATGAAGCAAGGGCGTCAAAAGCTGAAGGAACCTGAAAGCGAGATGCTCCCACCAGTTAGCCAAGGAGTGAATGTACAATGAGACTATCAAAGGAAGTTAAAACTTCTCTTGCAGTGGACACATAAACGGAAAAGGACAAATAGCTTCTGTATGTGGAGGAAGTTGCAGTACTCAAACCAGCCATGAGAATCCTGAAAGCCAATGTCCAGGCCAGAGTAAGCCCTTAACTGTTGTTATCTCTATGAAGCCGGCAGAGCAGAGGCTGCTACAGAAGCGAGGTTACATCAGAAGGCTGAAGAATGAAGTTGTCTCTGTAACATGAAGGCTACAATGGGTGAAACAGCACCTATTTGTGTGGGAGCTGCAGTAAGCTGCCTGAGGTGACTGCATGACATCAGCGGTCTTTTGTGAAGACGAAACAGTGTCATGTTGGAAGATGATGCCTTCTGGAACTTTCTTAGCTGCTGAGAAACCCATGCTTAACTTCAAAGATTGTTGAAAGATAGGTTGGCTTCTTCATCAATGGCTGGTGCTGTCAGGGACTTTAAGTTGATACCAAGGCTCATTCAGAAAATCCTAAGGCTGTGGGAATTACTCTAAATCTACTTGGCCAATGCCCTGCTAGCAGAACAACAAAGTCTGGAGGCAGCTCATCTGTTCACAACATGGCTCACTGGGTATTTTAAGCCTCCTGCTGAGTTATATTCAGAGAAAAAGATTGTCGCTGTCATTGATAGTACACTTGCTCGGCCGTGATCTGGGGTATATGTACCTTGAGGTCAGTGCTGTTTTCACGATTGCTCACCACCATCCATTCTGCAGCATGTAGAGCAGGGAATGATCTGACTATTTACTAGCTCCTTAAGACTACTCCTGCCGTAGATGTTGATACACAAAGCAGCCCTGGAGAAAGGAAACGGAAAAGCTATAGGAAAGGGCTCCCAATTCTGGATGCCAGCAAGAATATGAGTTAGGACAGGAGTCAACATTAATTACCATATTCATGAAAAACTGAGAGAAGATGATTTCAGCCTCTGAGTGGTTGAAGGTGTCAGTGGAGGAGAAAACAGCAGAAATAGTATGAGAATGGGAATTAGAGATGAAGCATGACCACATGGCTGAACGGAGGTCACCTGTGTGGAAGTCACCTGAACAGAGGTCACCTGGACAGAGGTCACCTGAGTGGAAGGTCACGTGAATGGAGGTCACCTGAACAACAGGTCACCTAAACACAGGTCACCTGAACGAAGGTCACCTGAGCAGAGGTCACCTGAACGGAGGTCACCTGAGTGGAGGTCACCTGAATGGAGGTCACCTGAGTGGAGGTCACCTGAGTGGAGGTCACCTGAGTGGAGGTCACCTGAGTGGAAGTCACATGAAAGGAGGTCATCAGATACTAAAATTTTAGGAAGGGTGATAACGCTTCTTGCAGAGGAACAAATTCTAGATAGAAAGTTCCACTCATCAAGGTGATGCAGGCTTGAAACAATGTTGAAATGGCCGTATCAACTTACAGCACCATATCATTTTAGTGGACAAAGCAATGGTGGGAAACAGGGTACTGTTAAATAATATTTTAAATGAGTCTTTTATGAAGGAAGAGACCAGTTAGTGCCACACACTTGGCTGTTACAGAAACTTGCCACACAGCCCTTACAACCTGCAGCCACCACACTGCTCAGGCAGCAGCCACAGGTAGAGAGGCAAGACCCTTCACCAGCACAGACAGAAAAACTAGCTGAGAACGAAGATGCTCACAGACATTTTTTAGGAGTATTTTAAATAAAATATGAACTTTTAGACATATTATAGCATATTTAATATGCAACAGTAGTCTATAAAAATGACTGAGGAACCAAAAACGTCTCCCTCACTTTATTGGGAAGTTTGCAATTATTGTTGCTATGGTCTGGAATTGAGCTTACATTATCTCTGACGTATGCTGTGCTTCTAAAATCAGGTTCCCGGCTTCTGAGCAATTGTATTATAAGACATGGCTGAAGAGAAAAGATTACTCAGAATACCCATGAGCAAATGTTCACTTACCCAAGGTAAGATTTTTTAAATAGTCTCTATAAATGAAGACATGCAGCCTGTCCAGGATTAAACACTTAAAATATAAATAATTTCTTTTGAAAATGTCTATCTGAGGAAACAAGGCTCCCATGTTCTTTTGCACTCTGATACACTATTTAGAATGAGCAAACTCTGATGTTGGCCAGTGAGATGGCTCAGTGGGTCAAGATGCCTGTCCTGGAGCCTCAAAACTTGAATTCAGTCCATGGAGGAAAGAAATGGACTCCCACAAGACATGGGCCACCAGGTGCCCTCTGCAGGAGCGCTGCGGTGTGCAATTGTGAGCACATTCACATGCAAGGAAATAAATGTAAGTAGTATCTTTAAAAGGAAGAGGGAAAGAGACTGGAGAGATGGCCCAGTTGTTAAAAGCAATTGCTGCCCTTCCAGAGGACCTGGGTTCAATTCCTAGCAGCAACATTTGACTGCTCAAAACCTCCTGTAACTTCAGTTCCGGGGTATCCAACACCCTCTCCTGGATCCCATGGATACACACCCAAATAAATCTCCTTTTTAGAAAAGAAGTATTGATTTAGCACACTGGGAAGGACATGGTCCAAAGGAGAGTCACCATGATGACCAGATGTCGGTAAGGAAAGTGACTTCCTGTCCCGATGTCGGTTCTCCAGCTCAGCCATGATGAGATCACCTCCCTTTTTGTGGGACAGTCTCAGTTTGCTCTACTTTCTCCTAAGCCAACTTGTACCTCCCAAATTATGTATGAATTTGGGATTGAAGATTATAGATCTCTTGATCCTCGGTTGTTCTCTTGATCTGCAGCAATAGTTCTCAACCTTCCTAGTGCTGCGATACATACCTTTAATACATACAGCTCCTCATGCTGTGGTGACCCCCAACCAGAAAATTATTTAGCTTTTACTTCATAACTGTAATTTTGCTGTTTGCTATGAACCATGATAGAAATATCTGTTGTGCAGAATATCTGCTATGTGACCCCCCCTCCAAGGTGTCATGGCCCACAGGTTGAGAACTACTGCTCTAGCATTTATTTTTTGCTATAAAGACCATAAATTATAAATTTTTATATTTATACATATAAATATAAATATATACATACCATCTTAAAGCTGCTCACTGAGGCCCCCTTCTAGCATCAGCATCTTACTATGGCAGGTGCTAAGGCAAGTTCTTATAGAGCTTTTCCATGGTGGAGGAGTCTCAGGAAGCAGGTGTGACAGGAAAGATCAATGAATGACAGACAGCTGCAAGAGTCGATTTTGTGGGGGAGAACTGTGAGATTCTGCGGAGGAAGAGGATTGAGTGGGAGGGAGGAAGAGTCGTCTTTAGTTTTATCAGGCCAGAGAGAGGAGAAAATGAGTGCAAAGCCAAGGAGATTCACGGTGTTTGCCGTAGAGAAAAGCACAAAATGGGCTTCAGCAATCAGATTGCCTTAAAAAAAAAAAAAAAAAAAGTCATGTACCCAAGCAAACACCAGTGCAGGGTGAGCATAAAGCTCTGAATCCAGGGTGAGGTATCTGACAACGCCAGTCACTCAGGCACACCTGTTGCACAAGCCACAGCCGCTGCACAAACACCGCACTAAGGATGTACACTTACACACTCTGTGAACCCTTCTAGAAGGGACCAGACTACTGGAGCTTTGTGAAGTCACCAATACCCTGAATCATCTTGAAGGTGACTTTTTACCTATGAGGTCTACTTGCAGTATTTGTTTTGCATGCAAGATTCTTACTTTTAATGACTGCACACACACAAAGCCCTTCTGAAGCAACAGTAAGTTGCATAAACTTAGGACATCCTTTCCTGAAGGAGCTTCCCCTACCACCTACTAAATGTGCGTTTGCAAACGCGGTTCAGTAGATTGCTTTAGAACATGGCATCATTAGCAGTTGCTTCATGCCTGCCTCCGAGCCTCCAGGAAAATCCCAAGAGCAGCTTTGAAAGCAGTAAGTCACTGAGACGGTGAGTGATCAGAAACTGGGACAATGCCTGTTTTTATTGTCCCCAGTCTTACCCCCAAGGCATACTTGGTAGGACTCTAAACATTTCTGTGAAAAGAAAATATTTCTCACTCTCCTCAGATACTTCAATATTCTTCTGCTCCATGAAAAACAAAATATTTCCATTGCTTATATACTATATTTTGATTGGCTAGGCATATTTTCATACTAGGGTATTGATGGTTTTGCTTCGTTTTTCCCTCATTGGCTTACTGAACTCAGCTTCACATAATCTTCCGCACAAGGGCCTCCAAATTGCGGTGCTGGGTTTGACCTATGTCTACAATCCAAGTCTTCCTCCCAACTTTGAGTGAACATCTCTTTTTGCTGTTCTCATTCACTGGGTTTCTTTCTGGGGTCCATGAAGCAAGATAACATCAAAGCCTTTCCACAGATCATTGTCTAGCTTTTCTTTTGTTTTGTTTTTGAGACAGGGTTTCTCTGTGCAACACTGGCTGCCCTGGAACTTGCTCTGTAGACCCGGATGGCCGTGAACTTACAGAGATCCGCCAGCCTCTGCCTCCCAAGTGCTGGGATTAAAGGTGTGCGCCACCACTACCTGGCTCCATCCTACAGTTTCTAAGACTCTGGAAAGGACCCTGAGTTTTTACTCTTTTCTTCAACTGAGCTCTTATTACATTCTTGTATTCGAGGAACTGGGCACTTAGAGGAATGTTGAAGAGACGATGAACTCAGGCACTGAAGGGTTAATGAGCATACCCTGTTTGCCTGCTAACAAATGAGCCCGCCTTGCACACTGACAGACTAAGAGCCTGGGTGCAGAGACAAAGTCTTTGTTAATGAGAAGATAAATAGAAACGTCAGTCTGAGCAATGACTGTCGACACGGGGTGACACGATGAACCAGAGGTTACCTGGGCAGACACCATAGAGAAGATTCCAAGATTAGCAAAGACTGGCTCACATGGCGGGGGGGCTGCTAGGGCTTTCCCATCCTTCCCTCCAAGGGGAGATTCCTCCAGAGAGAGAAGAGGGTCATATCCTGGGAAGGGAGCTCTTTCTAAGCGCCATTATCTCTGGCTTTCATAGCCATTAGCTCTCCAAATATCCTTGACCAAAGCATCTGAAAACTGTAGGAAGGCTGCGGAGAACTGCTTCTACCGGCCATTACTAGGGACACAAAGCAGCTGCCTCCTGAAGCAATTGCCAGAAATAAACCCCAGGAACCAAAGTCCTCCCTCCTAGCCCAGGCTATTTCTAGATACGCTGAATACCTGTGAGGCCTCTTTCGTCCCACTGTCTTAGGGAGCCATTAAGTTCCCAAGCCTGGTGGGCCAGAAATGGCCTGGTAAAGAGGAAGAAACCTGTGGAAAGACAGAATCAAGAGGTCGGAGTTAGATGTGCATTGTCAAGCAGTGATGGAGAGTGGTTTAGAACCCCTGGGACTGGCCCGAGTGACTCCATGCTTTCTTAGAGAGTATACATAGTGTTGGGCACAAGCAGGGAGGAAGCCCGTCAAGGTGCATCTCAGCTCCTTTCCCCAGAGTCTGGAAATTGCTCAGAGTCCTTAGATTCAGCCACGGGAATGGGTTTACTGTGTACTGATCCTGAATTATTCAGGCTATCCAACTGATCCTGAATCATCCAAATTTTCACAGTCTCGTTCTGGATTCTGCAGGCAGACTGCTCCCAAAGAAGTGACAATTCCCATGACTGTTCCCAGGTAAGACACTTTGCTGGTGAATTTCCCCTTTCCGGTGGGAAAGGATGGGCTTGACATGAGAAAGGCTTTAATTCACAACCGGGGTGCAGACCAAAGGCTTGAAAGCACTGATGGGGTTAGAGCCTTGAAACTGGCGATCAGCAACAAATCACCAAATGTTCCGAAAACTCTAAACCGTCTTGTCTGGAAAGGGAGCATTACCTCTCTCTGCAGCTCGGGGTCTCCCCTCATGTCCACAGCTAGGCAGACAAACAGCCAAGACGGCCTCCTCAGACTTCCATTTGCAGAGGAAAAGGACTCTTCCAACTCTTTGTAGTATTTTGGGAACATTAAGCTGAGTGAAACTGGGGGTCATCCAAGAGGTTAATATCCAAATTCTTAAGCGAACTGCACTAATCCATTCTACAAGAGCAGTGACTGTCATCTAATGTCTGAAAATGAGGACACTAGGAAAGAGCTGTTGAGACGAGAACCCCTCACTCGGAAGCCGAGGCTCTGGCTGCTTATGGGGAGGAAAGTGGAGAAGAGCCTTTACACATCTGGCACTCAAATTCGTGACACATGTACACACATGGTAGGATCGTTCCTCTACTTTTAGAATGCAGTCTTCTGTAGATTAAGTTTTAAGTTCTAGGCTATTATCTACCTTTCTCTCAGCTAAAGTGGGCTCTCTGCATTCGCTAACTTGCCTCTGCAGACTGTGTTAATGGCTTCAGTTGGGCCCATCTGCTTCCTGAAAGTCCATTCATAATCCTGGCAAGTCCATCCTTAACTCTTTAAGACTCATTCCTTAGACATGACATCATTCACATTCAGAGTTTCCCATGGGTGGGAATCTTTCACTTGAGAAAAAACTTTTTGAGTAAACAATCTCCAAGACAGGCTTTGGTGACCATCTCAGGCAGAGCTCCCATAGACAGCTCAACCTGAAGCAATTAAAAAAAAAAAACCCACAAATGAGACGTCATTGCATTCCGGAAAATAAGTTTCCACCAATAGAAGCTGTGTTCAGGCATCACTGAGTATCATAAATAAAGGAAATCCTGTCTCATAAACACGGTAGATTCAGGCCTCCTGAGGTTGTGTAGAGACCTGAACGTCGAGAGAAAATGTCCCTGAAAAAAAAACAGCTAGTTTTAGCCCTGCTGTGTGGGAGGCAGAATACTGAAATGACATTCTAATGGCCATGGCTCTTGAGCGATCCTTTGACCTTGGAGTGCATATAAAACCCAAGAACTTTGTAAGATACTAATAATTCAATTAGGTTACCTTAATGACACAGCTGAGTATGTTTTGTAACTGTGGTTGAAAATAATATGAAATTATCTGAACCATGTTATAGCCCAGTATTGTGCAATGCAGCGTTGCAACTTTGGTACCTATAGACTGCGGTGCAATGCAGTATTGCAACTTGGGTACCTATAGATGCTCATGCAATGCAGTGTTATGACTTGGGTATCTATAGATAGATGTGAAATTCAGTGTTGCAACTTGGGTACCTATAGATGACTGTGCAATGCAGTGTTACAGCTCTCTCATCTTGCAGCTCCAGTCTAACTGAATGATTCCCCTTCCCCCTCTGCAGCAGGTAGCAACCATCATTTTGCTTTCCATCTTTACGGATCTGGGAATTCTGGATAACCTGTGAAAGAGGAAGCAGTAAGCATGACTTATTGGTGTTAATTTAACCTGATAAGTTTGCAATACTTGTTACACACAGGCAAGGAACTAACACACCCATTATACTACTGTGTTTGGGCCAGGTCATAGGTCATTCTAATTGTTAGCGCTAGTCTACTGGGCTCCATGGCTCCTTTGTTCTCACCACACTCAAGACTAACTGTAACATTTTCTTTCTTTTGCTTACTTATTTTTGGAGGGCAAACTCTTACTTTATATTTATAAGTAGGTAATATGAATACACAAGTCACAATTGTAGGCCCATATTTCTATATGATATGGCAGCCAAGTTATCCAGCCATAGGCTCCACCTGAGGTGGTCACGTAATCTTTCAGGCAGGCTGTCACTACCTAACAAAAGGTCAGGATGTCGTTTTGCTCCTTTCTTTGTAATTTGGAGGATGCCTGATAGAGATGCTGATTCAAACCTACGTGACAGCTAGCGTACAGAGCAGACAGGTAGGTGACTAAAAGCCATTCACCGGTTACCTAGGAAACAGAATGCTAATGTATTTCCCCTCAGTTAAGTTTTGATATAAAGGCTGCTTGGGGGATAAACGAGAGGAATTCTTCAGGATGTGAACTCGGGACTTCATGAAGGATCACTGAGAATCTCTCGCCCAATAAATCCATGTGAGTTGTGTCTTTATTCCTGTGCATCCACGCCAATCCAGAGAGAGACAGTTTATGTTGGGGTCTGGTAGAGAGAAATAATTTATGATCCAGGCTAGCACCAGACGCCAACGCACAATAAAATATACAGCAAGATATATAGTCAACGTCCTCCTACCAGTGGTGTTTTCCTCTGTCCTTGTTCTTGTCTCTCTTCCCTGCCACCGCTCAACCTCTGCTGCCAGCATCTCCACACTCTTCCCAGAGCCTTTAAAATGCAGTACATGAAGAAGACGGCTAATGACCCTCACTACCCATTGTTCTCTTCTTAAATCATTTCAGAATGCTTATTTGGGGGAACTGGGTGCTAGGAATTAAAACTATATTCCCCTGGCTCCTTTAGGCTGTGTGCAAGTAGGTACAATATACATAGGTGTGTGTGTGTGTGCGTGTGCGTGTGCGTGTGTGATGCTGGAGTCAAATCTGGGAACCACCGAATCACACCCCAAGCTCATCATATGGGCTATAAATAAGGGTATGTGGTAACTCCCAGGAACTTCCTTTGATACTTGCCCTTTGACCCTTCTTCTCATTCTGCACCATACTGACTGGGCTGTAGATGCTTCATCATATTCTCAAGGACAGTGCTGTGCTCAAACTGGATGGCCAATGACCTAAAGGACAGGGAGGAGAATGCACACCAGAAACGGGAATGTTTATAAAGATTTGGGCAGGATTTGGAGAAACTGATGGAAGATTGTAATGAGCTCCAGGGCTAGCAATGAAGGAAGCCACCCACAGCCTCAGAACCAATCACATAAACAGATGGACTGACCACCAGCACCCAGCGGTGCACAGAGCAGCAGGATCACTGTACAATAAAACACAGAGCCGCTTCTTCCTTCCCACCCTCTGGTCTTCTGATGATGCCCCATCCTGGCTGACTCTAGTCAGGAGCCAGACAGTGAGGAATCTTGTGTGCTGAGATCCACAATGTTGACCTCTTGGAACTCAGTGCAAGATGGGGGAAAGTGAAGAATGTGTCTGAAGTGATAAACAGACACCATCTTCTACACCAACACCACTGTTGCCCTTAGTCAGAATGAGAACTCATGTCCCTAGTATAGACAGCGTACAAAGCCTCGCAGGTTACCTCTGTACCATGATGACATTCCATCTTATTCCAAAGCATTCATTATAGCACTGTTCATTTAACATAAAAGGGAGACCCAAGAATGTGCTGAACTCATATCAAAATTCCAACTGCCTTTTTGGGGGGTAATGAACAATTGAATTCTTAAATTCATATATAAATACAAAAGACTCCAAGTAGCACCCCTCTGAAAATCAAAAGTTCTGAGAAAAAGAGCAAAAATGAGCACTCAGATTTCCCAGTTTTAAAATGCTCTTCAAAACAATAGTAATCAAGACCCCTGTGGTCCTGGTATAGAGTAAGTATATAATACAATAGAAGAAAGAGGGCAGAAATCAACTTCAGTCATGTTCATTTGATTTTTGATAAGGGTTCATTTGATTTTGATAAGACCACTGAATGAGAGAATTGTTCTTCAGCATATGGTTTTCTGAATAAAAAAGAAAGAAAGAAAAGAATCAATATCTTTACTCGCACCATATGCAAAAATTAATTCAGAAAGGATCAAAAGCCCGAATAAAGAACAAAAGCTATGAAATCCATAGGAGGGAACAGAGTTGTGGGGCTTCTTTGTGTCTTTCTGTCAAGCAAAAGTTTTTTACCTATAACACAAAAATGCCCAATGACCAAACGACAGTACTGTCCACACCAGAGAGCAATCCTGGCAAGTCCTATCTCTAATAAGGACGCAGCATCAGAATATATAATGAGTTCTCACAACGTAACAATAAAAAGACCAACTGCAAGGTGGGAAAAGGATTTGAGCAGCCATGTCTCCAAAGAAGATAAGCAAATGGTCAAAAGCAAATGAAAAGATGGCTCTGTAGCCACCAGGCAATGCAAAGCAGGACACCAGATACCTGATGTTTAGTGACTTTTAGAATAGTTCTAATAAACGTAACAGTCAGTGCTGGTGAAGAGGTGAGGAAATCAGAGCCATCCTACAATTGCCCAACCTGTAGCTGCTAGAAATGCGAACTCTATCCTCCTGTAGGAGAGGCTAGGAGCATCCTCAAGACCCTGAACACAGAATACTATATTAAGCCAGCGGCCTTATCTCTAGTTTTTAAAAGAAAGCAAATATTCACTCAAAAACATGTACATGGGTATTCATAGCCAAATTATTCGTAGCAGTCAGAAGGAAAAATAATCCCAATGAAAAACCTTAATCAATTAACCAACAAAACATGTTTTATTTGAAACAATATTAGTTAACAAAAAAAGAGATGGACTATGGACACCTGCTTGCATCGTGGATGAACCTTGAAAACATTATTCTACATAAGATGTATAAGACAACTCTTTGCATGATTCAATCTATATTAAATGTCTAGAAAGAGAAAATAGTGATGGCAAGTGAAAGGAAGAGTAACTGGAAACAGTTGCCAACAGAAACTTCTTTGTGAGGTGATGAAAATATTCGGAAGTTAGATAGTGGAGGTAATCGCGTAGCATGTGGTAAGTGTAGACAATGCACCGAGTTGTGCAACGTAAAATACTGAGTTTTGTATTGCGTGAGCGTGGTGCTTTAGATGAGGATATGAACCTCCACAGG